TTATATTCTAGCTAAGTCCGACCCAAAGTTGATTGAAAAAAAAACAGGATAACGAATTCTGGAGATTTTGTGATACCGCCTTTTTAGCCGACTGTGTTTGCTGTTGTGAAAATAATATTTTCCCTATACAGGGTGCTTCAAGTTCGACCCAAACGATTTTAGAGCTAAAAAGTCCATTTACATGTACAAAATTCCAATATAGCGTCCGTATGAAAATGTAAAGTTGGTGATAGAAGAGGAAATGTTGAATTGAAAATTTGACTAACGCCGTCTTGTGGAGGAGAATCAGTAACAAAGACAACAATATAATTTATTTTGAAATCCCATCTCACATAAAGTCGAAAAAAAAAATAAAAATGATTTTGGGATAAATCTGGTGAGCCAAACAAACGATCTGATAACTTAAGGTCTACCAAAGAAATACTGTTTTTTGAAGTAACTAAGGTTTGGCAACGTCAATGTATGACATGCATTTGTAGAATCAGAATTAAATTCTCTATTCATCTGTGTACAAATACAATACAGCGTCCATGAGAAATGATAAAGTTGATGGAGGACAAGAGTCGACTCGCCATATTGACATTCTGATTATGCGTTCTTGTAGAGGAGAAAATGTGGCAATGTTAATGTGCAATATATTTTAAAATTCCACTACAAATAAAGTCATGAAAAAATGAAAACCATTTTGTGAAAATTCAGTTTTTTTGTCTTTCTCCGGAAGTACTTTGAATTTCGAAGCTTGTGAGTGTCATTTTGTTGACTACCTAAATACGCAACTTTGCCCCTTTAGCGACTTCATATCCCTTACAGTTGCCGAGATCCTAATGGTGAGTGTTGAAACACCTTGTATATGCAGACTCTCACTAGAAGACAGCAGTAAAATACTACAAGGATTTAATAACGTCTTTGAATAACTAAGGATGTTATACACTAAAAAGCTAAAACGGCTGAACATAACTACAATTACCAAGATCTGCTTAACATAGCTGTAAGTTTGACAGATACTACGAAACTACATAAAAATAAGACTTAAGTCGCGTAATTTTGCATTTTGCAACTGTAACAAAAATTTTCGAAAGATCGGTGATCACAAAAAATTGTATTAATTATGGTTCTTGAAAGTTTTGTCCAGTATTTTTCGGATTTTTCAAACTGTATTCATAATCTAGAGATTGCATTTTGCCGTTACAGGTCAATAAACAAAACACTGAGCAGGAAGCACTCTGACGCTGCCTATATTTAAAATGGAATTCCACTGAAATTTCTTCTGCCACTTTTGGTCACCCGAAAATGTTTTCATTCTCTCCTCCAGTAGATCTTCAAGGTCTTCATCTTCTTGGTATATCTCTCAGCTTTTTTTTACACCGAAAAAGCCGCGCAGGTGAAGCCTACATGCCAGGGCACCGAGGCTGTTATGAGGAGCCTAAAGAAGCTTTGATATTCCTACTTTTGAACTGCCTATGGTTAGTAGAACTTGGAAAAGCTCCTCATGTAGATTGTTCAACAATCTCAACACCCTAGGGACAACGGAGCGGTCTTATCGGTCAGTTCTGGATTTACGAAGTTCGACACTGTTAGGATAGAAGGCCGACGTCTGGCGGGTCTGTCTGGGGTAGCTAGATCGCCGACGGCCCGCCGGTGCGAAAGTGTCCCCAGACTGTCCGTTAGAGAAGAGTCATCGATCAGTAAATGCCTTTTGCGAAGCAATTTTAGTCCTCGAGATAGTTTCGATACACTCTCACTGTTCCTGATTGACTGGCGTCCCCTAATCTGTCAAAAGGTTTTGTACGAACAGCGGATTAGCTGTCGGCAAACAGAAACTGTATGAACAGGTAACATCTCTCTGATTCTGATTTTGACAGTCACCGACAAGTTACCGACTACTGTACGAACAAACCAATAAAATATATTTCATCCGGTTTCTCGATCGGCTTACTTTTTTGCAGTGGGCTCTTGCTCTATAAGTAAACTACTCCAAGAAAACGTTGAACCGAATGTTTTTTTTTGTATTGGTATTTTCTTTTCGGTTTGCAAATGTTTTCATTGTGTGTTGCATATGTATGTATCACTGTTATTAGTAAAGTTTATTTTTAAGGTAATATAGACTTCGACGCGAAAGTATTTTTATGAACACAAAGAACATTAATTAGTTAATAGTCAATAAACATTTTCCCGACTGCGATGTCACACGAACTTTGTGAAGACGATACAGGTTATTTCTTATAGCTATGTCTGTGTCTGAAACTATGTTATGGTTGACTTAAGGCTAAGGCTGCATGAGCTTATCATGAATAAGATAAAAGCAAATCATCTCTTTGTCATTCACTTAGTATGCATTGAAATCTTACCTTTCTACAGAAATATTTGAAGAATGAATGGCATCCGCTTTGTGTTCATCGTCACTTTCTTCCGACAGTTTGAGATCATCACAAAGATCCCTGGAAAAATGTTATTGTGTTATTAAATTTTGTTGGGGATTTAGGTTTGTATATAGTCAAAACACGATATTGTAAAAGAGTGGCGTAACGTATCGTACGCCACTGTTAACGTCTTTGGCACGGTGAGATATGCACATCACGTTAGTAGTGGCGTACGGGGAGCTGGTACTTGACTTTTTTATAAGTATACAAAGGAAAAAGTCCCGTATTTAAAACTTGATTGTATAATAATTTGTAAACACATACGAGTAGTATGAAATATGGGACCAAAGGTTGGCATCTAGTAGAGCACAGTATATGTACTTGATCGTAAGAGTGACACAGATGCAAATATACTACGTAATGGATACACTAGTATTGGGATGTTGTCACGCGCTCATCTAAGAATTCCACTGAAAGTGCATATTGAATTTTTGCAAAATCTTCAATGTCAAGTAATTTTAGATCAAATCTCAGAAGATCAGCAAGCCAGGACGTATCATTGGATAAGGTAGGCTCTGTAATACTCGATGCAAATAGTGCCATCCTGTATGGGGAAACCTCAATTTTCAACAAGTCTGTCTTCTGGCTTATATCATGCCTATCCACGTCACGAGGAATTCCTCTTAAACTTGTTTGAAAAACATTGGACTAAGCAACTTGGAGGAGTTCAAGCAACTAGAGGATGTGATTAGTTTTACATCCCACGTCAATGACCAATGACAAAAATTTTCAAATATTTTGAGTTTTATATTTTTGTGATGCTTCATAATATACCCAAAAAATATTGATTACTTGTTCCAACATCGGCTGTAGATTGTTCAAGTATGTTTCGAGAAAATAGATGTCCTGTTCCATTATTTTATTTAATTTTATAGTCTTCAGTCTACATTATCCATGTTCACTAAAAAATGAATACGAACATTTAAAAAACAAAGTGGTTGTTTTCATCTCCACTGAAAAAGCTTTTAGGATGTAAGCACAAAGCTTAAAGAATCTGCTTTCTTCTCTGGTTAACAACTTTAGCGCCCTCACACCCATTTTCAAGCTTGTGACTGTACAATACGGGGGGGGGCGGGGGTTGTTTAAATTCCGACTCCTCTCAATGACCATCCTCATACCATCAAAAACGTCTCGTTTAATAGAAATGTGGAATCGACGGGCGATGTAATCCATTGTTGCCCTCTCAATCACCGTGTGTGATGCGATATTTTTTGTCGACTACCTGAACTCTTGTATGCACCTGTGCAGTAACGTAATCTAACTCTCCTCAGGTAAATAGCTAGACGGAACCCTGGGTGGTGCGGTGTGGTAAGGGGCGGAGGGGTAAGGGGCGGGTGTGTTTAAATTCTAAGTCCTCTCAATGACCATCCTCATAGCATCGAAAACGTGTTGTTCGACAAATTTGTATCGTATAAATAGCTCGAGGAAGGCATTGTTACCCTCTCAATGACCCTGCAAATTGTAAAACCACACAGCAGTTCCGTCCCCTATCAAGAACTGTAAAACATTTTCGCGCTTCTGTCCTGAAATCATAAACGCATTTATAATAGAAAAGGAGTCGTCGATGGAAGGTGTTGTAAAGATATTGTCCTCACAATGGCCATGCCGGTTGTCAAACCTCTCAGCTGTTCCGTAGAAATGTTGACTATATATTTTTTTGTGGGCAACCCGAAATTTATCTGGGGGTTGGGTTGTTCAAATGCCTTAGGGTATGCGGCAGTGCTGTAAGGTAATCTAACTCTGCTAGTTGTTATATAAATGGTGAAACAACAACAGCTATGATCATTCAAATTCATTTAACATCGATAAGTGACTAAATAATATTCTTGAAGTACCTAACAGATTGAATTTGGTGAGCATCCTTTTATATTATTTATCCAACACTATATTTATTTTTTTAATAATGTCTATCAATACCTCAGCCTTGCATGAAATACTTGTAAACAATAAAATAAATCGCGAATCTGACAACAATATACCATCTAGAACATTATCATCATTAACTGTAAACAAATCTTATCCTATTAAGCATATTTCAAGTATCCAATCAAAGTTTGGGCAATGCCTAGTAGCAACCCTTCTTGATTCTGATTCTGACCAGTTTAGGGTTTGGCTACCTAAAAGAGTGTTGGAAAACATGCCCGAAATTATTATTAAAGATATAAATGAGTCCCTAAACAAATATTCTTTAGCGAATATTGGCCAAAGCTCATCAAAGACACCAGGTAGTCGTTCAAAATGTTTGATAAAGTTTGACTTTGTTGACAGTAGTAATTAGTTTAAAAATATGAGGTAGTATAGGCTAATATGTAGGGTATAAATAATATAAAGGTTCAGATTGGAACTGGGTTAGGAAAATGCAGCAGGTAAAGTTGTTTTGACAAATATCATGTTCCACTTGATATTGACCATTATACTTAACTTTCCAGAAGCAGTACACCCCCTCTGGTTTGACAAGATGTGGATGCATTGTGCATTATTGCGTTAGCCTGATCAAAGGATCTACGTACAGCTATCATGAGATTAGTGTGCCAGTTAACGGATTTGATGCATGACGCTGAACATTCAACAAACTACGATATGAATATTTGTTGGGATGATAACGAGGTTGAAAGGATCAAGAGACTAATTCGGAAATACGAGGAAGGGCAGAAGTTGTGCGCGCAGTATCTACAAGAAGATTGTACTATTGAGCAGTTTTGTAGTTATATGATTAATTATAACTTTAGATCATTTCTGTGTGAGATTGCAAGGTATTTACCTCCGGAAATTATCATCAAATATAACCTCGTGTATGAGGATTGAACACGATCTATTTAGTTTACTATAGGATTATACAATGCATTCTTATAAGATAAATACCTGACATATTGAGTTGTTGTTATTTCATTGAAGAACATCAACGCATGATAAATACATGAATACATTATATTGTAATGCTTTAAAATTTTTCCGTCAACTGAGTGAAGGCGATCAAAGAAATGTTAAGTTTCCGACAGATGTCTGCAGCCTTCTGGATTTTTTAAAATTTCACATTAAAGATAACGATAGCTGAAGAGACACAACGTACAAATTGTATACACTAACAATGATAGCTGCCATAATTTGGAATTGAGAATTGCCATCCACTTGAATGGGGTGAGGCTTGCCCAATACAATGCCTTTGATAGAAAGTCACGCCTCTGTGATATATATAAATATATAGCATGACAGGGCAAGCTCGATTGTGCGTTCAGGAATTCTTCTCACAATATGCGTCCGAATATTCGACAACATCCACACAAGAGAAAATAGAAATGGCTGCTGGTGAAAGAAGGGATTTTTTTATTACGGTCCCAGAAAACTATCGATAAAGAGTGTTTAGTATTTCCGTGTATTCACCTGCTCCTATATATAGCAGGTTGTACCCCAAGCATGCTATATATTATAAGGGTTTAAATAAAGGCACTGTATAGTGTTTTGAGACAACTTTCAACAAGGAATATTTGGCATTTCTGCCACAAGTCTATGCAATTTCATCTGTGCTAGTAGCGAAGGTCTCACGGTCAGGATTTGAGATTTCTTTTATCTAGGTTAGAAATATACTTCTTGCAGGTAGCACCCCAGCTGTCATCCCATATATTATATTATGGGATTTAATTGACACATGGTACGATCGAAGGTCTCACGGATAGAAATGATACATTTAGTTTTTTATGTATACTTACTACGTATATTTGATTATTAGACCTAGTTTTGTATGTATTGATTGTTATATTTATTAATTTTGTATAATATATGACATATATATTTGTATTTTTTTGCACACATATTTTCAAATTTAAAAGATAAAGGTGTATATGACTTACAATCAGTTAGAATATATAGTCAAGGAAAGTATGGGTAACAAATGGTCAATAAATGTTGATAGGTCTGCCGGATTTGGAAAAACAATCCTGGAGAAAATACTTATTAATTAAAGGAATAATAAGTATTTCGAAAATTACAAACACACCTCTATTTGACCACACCTAATCTATTATTTTTGAGAATTATGATACACGTATTATACATGACAGAAAAAAATTGAAAAAATATTAGGTAATTTTAAGGTTTATTAGATTATACATAGGTATATATGTATATTTTCAAAAATCAACTAAAAGTAAAAGTGTTTATTTTTCTTCTAAAAGCTTGCCCCTCTTCCGTTGTGCCATTTCTTTCAAGTTGTTAACCCTTTTCATCGCATCGTCCATATTATGTCGTTTTCTAATATTTTTCTGTTCACGTATGCGCTTTCTGTCCTCGTCTAACTGTTTAAGAAATTCCTCGTCTTGAAGAAGAAGTTCTCGCAGTTTTTGATTCTTATGCATTTCCACTGCCAATTGTCGCTCGGTATTTTGGATGTCTGATTTCATTGGCATTATACTTGCTTTGACAGCATTTATACCAGTTTGACTGTTCGGCTGCTTGGTGGTGGTTTTCTTTGTTCTTTCAATCACGTGCTTCATCTGGTTTAACGATTCTGAAGGCGAGATGTGAGCCTTCACTGCTGAAAGCGGGGTTGTTGTGGGATTATTCATTGTACAGGTATTTTCCAACACGGCAGCTTCAGCAGGTCTGATTTGAATGAACTCCTGGAGTTCTATGTCAGTTGTCATCTGAGTCAGTTGAATTCCGTCACCTTCCAGGTCAGCTATAATTGCATCCATATCATTATGGAGGACTGCAATGTCATCTAGATTATTCGCGGTTGCTTGCATAATGATATTGATTATGGGGATAACATATTCTGGTACTAACAGACTCAACTAGTGTAACGTAGCAGGCGCGACTGAATTTATGTGAAATCCTTAACCCCCACACATAAGGGGAGGGGGGGTTGAAATCAAACGGTAGAACGATCAAACGGTAGGTTAGATGCATTTTATCATTTGTAAATACACGGCGTGGCCTAACCTCTTGTATGCATGCTAACCAATAAGGAGACGTAATGGCAGGTAGATTCAACGTTTTTTATATTGCCCTTGTGGACAGGTAAACAGGTCTCTGAATCTGAAAACAAAGATAACAGTGATAACAGAGATAAGTTAGTGTATTAAAACAAGATTTAAAGAATTTGTATTTTTTTTATTGATACAACCATTTCGAACATATAGCGACTGCGTAAATATAACATAGAACTGAGAGCCCAAAAAAAGGATTACAATAAATCATTAATATCTATCCAAGAGTTTTTATAATGTGGAAATCCCAACCATTTAAGTAACAGCTTGTTGCCCTTTCTCCTAATCACCTTTTTAATCAAGTACTCTTCTGGATTTTTTTTTCTTAGTTCCTTCTCGTAGAAACAGCCTTTTATTGGACAACTTTCCACGTCTTCTAACATATATGTAACTGGATTTGAAATGTTAAATTTGTATATTTTAAATAACTCCGTTGAATAGTTCGATGTATACCCTTTTTCAAAAAGACTTTTGTATTTGCTTCCTCTGACGATGTCGCCAGGTTTAAGCTTCCCTTTTCCAGCTACTTTTGGATGATTGTACACATTCAATCGTGTATGGAAGTCGACTCCGATGGGGCTTATACCTGTCGTTCGATGTTTCCTGTTGTTATAAAAATCAGTAACATCTGCCAAGATACTGATCCACCGGTAGTTCCCCCTGACTGAAAATTCAGTGAAAAGTAGGTGTTTTAGTGATTGGATAGCTCTCTCAACTATTGCTGTTTTTTTTTGTACAATATGTGGAATAATGATTAATCTCATACTTGTGCATCAGAGCGGAAAATTTGCTGTTGTAGAACTCCGATCCATTATCCGTTTGTTGGTTCTTTGGGTGGTGGGTAGCCGTTTGTAAAATATCATCCATTGCAATAGTTATGGTTACCATATCTTTCCTTTTAACTGGTCTGCACCACATGAACTTAGAATAGGCGGGGGAAATTCCTTCGTGCCGCCATATGGCTATACCACGTTTTGTTTCGCTTACGATAGACATATTCACTACTATGAATACCCTGATGGAATGAGCTTGTATTTGCAGGTATCTAGTTTATTTAAAAGGAAGTGATAGGTTTAAAATCGTACTCAACTCGTTAAACTTCTTGTCAAAGTCACGTTTACTTTCCAGCACCTTATCGTTGCAGTATGTCACTGAATCACTTTATACATTGGAAATTGCTAGTCGCATCAATTTACCCATTTCGGTTACAAATTTATTCATGATTTCTTCAATATACTTTACAGTCACAGCATCGTTTTTGTCCACAGGATCACCAACATTCTTTATCAGTTTTTTTTTCAATATCATAGTCACCATTAGTAGTTAGTTTGAAGCCAATGCCATGTACACCACGTACGCTATGCCATTTTGACGCGCGAGGTCCAAATTTGTCAACGCCGCCATACCTCACACCACGCTGCATTGAAGGCATATTTGTCAGTGATGTGATATACTCTAGGTTGACGAATAAAAATATATGCGAATCAAAGTATAACGCCCTCTTCACGCAATTCTTCTATTATTGATATCATTTCATTATCGTGGTTTGTATGCCCAGCCATTTTTTAGCTTTATAGCAGCCTCAGTCTATCAATTAACTCATTGATATTATTCCAATATACATATTCATATTGCATATCGTTATATATTTTATATTTGGGTGCTTTCAAATATATACCCCGACCCACTGATGATCTCAGAAAGGAGGAATCCACAGTTTTTTGTTGAAAGACATGTTCATCACACTGTTGGAGTAATGGTTTGGGGTGCTATAGCTTATGGTTCCAGGTCACCTTTAATCTTCATCAGAGGTAACATGAACGCGCAGCGTTATATCCACGAAGTTCTAGAACCCCATCTTTTACCCTATCTTGACACCCTGGCAGATCCAACTTTCCAACAAGATAATGCCCGACCACATGTTGCAAGAGTCACAATAAACTTCTTTCAACATAATGATGTCACATTGTTACCATGGCCACCAAGATCTCCCGACTTATCCCCAATTGAGCACGCGTGGGATATGATGGGTAGAAGTTTGCTCAATTTGCAACGTCCTCCTCAGACTCTAGAAGTACTTCGAGAGGAGTTGGTGGTTGCCTGGAATGAGATACCACAGGAGGACATTGACCACCTGATCAGAAGCATGCCTAGGCGCGTTGGAGAATGCGTAGCACATCAGGGTGCATCCACACATTATTAAAGGTCAAAGGGCTTTAAAGCAGTGCAATCATTTTGAAATTTTTATCATTTACTTATTATGCTTCATTAAGTACATATACAAAATTTTATTAAAATAAAACCATTTAAACTGGATGTTCGGATTTATATGTCACTTAGTATACATTAATTTTAAATTTCTTTCATACGTATCATGTTTGCAATTTGATGTCGATTTTTTCAATTATAAATTTTTTGGTTTCAATTTTGAATTTTGTTTTATTTGAAATATTTCTGATATAATTTTGTATGTTATATAATCTACTGGAAAGGTAAGTATGACATCTTTGGCCTATACTTTTTGAGGTGAAAGGTGTTCGCTTAATGTTGTTGATTTTGTTTCTAGTTTGATCTAAGTGATCTAACGGAATAAGGTTATTTCTATCGTGAAATTGATAATTTATAATTTTATAAAAAAATTGTTGATGGGTATAAGAGTGATTTGTTGAAGATTATTTTTAAAAATGGTTTTTGGATAATTTCTAATTTATTAATTTGGTTATCAAGTGCTCCACCCCAACCTAATATTGCGTAACTTATAAGACTTTCGATCATAGCATGATATAAAATTTTCATTGTTCTTTTATCCAAATATTTGTTTAGATACTTGGATTTAAACAATAATGGTCTCAAAATGGTTATTATATGATCAATATGTATATTCCATTTTAAATGTGAGTCTAAATACACACCTAAATATTTTATTTTGTTTGTTAAATTTATTTGTGTATTATTTATATTATCACAGTTAATCTGTATAGATACAAAGGATGGTAATTTGTTTCTGTGATTAGTGAATGGCATGACCATAGTCTTTTGAAAGTTAATAGTTAGGCTTTTATGTCTGAACCAGTCTGCAATTATCGTTAAGTCTCTTCCAACTTTCACTTTTGGATCATCCCACGAGTTGTTATCCCAATAAATGATAGTAGTATCGTCTGAAAAACATATGATTGTCCCTTCAGATTTTAAGCTCAGTAGGCTATTAATGTAAAGTGTAAATAATAAGGGGCCTAACACTGTCTCTTGTGGGACACCATACGTTATGAATTTGTTCGTGCTTAAGGAATTATTTATTTGTCGCACTGTGTTCTGTTGGAAAGGTAACTTTTCATGAGGTTATAAGCCTTGCCTCTAATTCCTGAGTCGTGTAAAATTTCTAATAGTAGCAAGTGGTCTACTGTGTCGAATGCTTTGGCTAGATCTAAAAACACACACAGGGTATATTCACTTTGGTCCAGTAATTTGTATAATTTTGATGTCAAAAAAGAAATTGCGTCTTGGGTAGACTTGTTTTTCTGGAATACAAATTGGTTTTCATTAATCAGATTATGTTTATCAAAAAATTTAGAAGTCGTGTTTTTATAATTTTCTCAATAATTTTTGCAAAGTTGGATATTAGAGTTATAGGCCTGTAATTGTTAGTATCTGTTTTTTCACCGGATTTGTGGATGGATTTTACTACTCCTACTTTATAATCATCTGGAAATTCTCCCAATTCAATTATCAAGTTTGCTATGTACGTCAAGGGCTTACTAATTTCGGATGAAATCCTCTTTAATATTTCTGATCGTATACCATCAAGTCCTGTTTTTTTTTATTTTTTAAACTGTGTATGACATTTCTTATTTCATTCTCAGACACAGGTTCTAAGAAAATCGATTGTTGTATATATTTTCTAGGCGGAATATTTGTGTTAGGTTTATTTATTTGCATTGCTAATTTTTTCCCTATTTCTATAAAGTAATTATTGAATGCATCAGCAATATCTTTATTTGTGTTAAGTGTTGTATCATGGACGTTTATTTCTTCAATTTTTGTTTCAGGTTTGGATGAATTACCGATCTGATTTAAGGTATTCCATAGCATTTTAGAGTCGGATTTGTTGTTTTGTAGTTTTTCTGTGTAATATATTTGTTTTGAAATGTATATGTATAAAACAGAATTTTTATATTTTTTCATTTTTTTTCATTGTAATAAAATTTTTGAGCTCTAACGTGTATGATTCACATGTTAATATACATACTTCAAAATCAGCCAACCACGATGTGGCTATACTATACGCCTCTCATCTGGCGAAATATGGCAACGCAGCGCATCCACTCCCTCCTGTCATCGATAATCGATCTTCTGTTATCTGTTCTCCTTCTCCAACGTTATGTTTTGTGGTCACTTGTTGTGTTATTTGACGTCCAGGTTTTTGTGGAAAATGGAATTTTGAAAGGAACAAATTTCTGTATAAAAAGTGCTCCGTCCAAGATTTTTTTGTGCAGAATTACATTCTACACTGTCGTGTACACGTTAAATCTGCAATACCCCCAAATGCGTGGTTATGTTGAGTGTACCATGTACTACAACCGATGGTGCGACTGATTATACACTGAAATCAAAACAAAAAACTGGAACTGCAATTGTATGTATGAATGTTGAAAATCTTGAACAGTTTCGGACCAGTGGTGCCAAAATGTCGTTGTGGAACTGGAAAGAAGTGTATGAATATGTTAAAACACAACACCCAACAAAAATTTGAGTGAAAAGGATCTTTCATGTAAGGGTTTGGAGGTGCAAGTCTGGAAATGTAGGAC